TGAGGCGCGCAAGCCATCACACCACGTCAAGGTGCAGTCTCGTCATGATGATTGGCAACATGATCTAGTATGTTCCTTATAGAGGTGAACTTTAATTGGAGGCTTTGATTAACATAGTCCTCGATCAAAACTTTTCACTTTGAAATTGCGGAAAGAAAAGTTAAATGTAATGCCGAATGATCGCAGTTCGGGATGCGAACGCTGGTGTTTTAAGGTTCTTTAATTTGGAAATGTTGTTGTTTGCAGATGTTTCGTAACCAGACCGGGCAATATCTCCGAATTCGTACTGATGATGTTGCCTGGTCTGCATACAATACTTCCAGTTCGGAGAACCCGCCTGCCCCCCCCCCCNAATAGTTCTACACTGTCATTCTGGTGGGTTGTAGAACTGAGGTTTGCAAAATTATTTGTCAATGATCTAACATCAAGGGTACACGAGTGAATTAAACTATGTAAATTTCAAATATCTGTTTACTTGTATATTGTTGTTCATAAATTTCAATAAAGAAAATGAAGAAGATCTAATTTGTAGAGCATCAAGATACTTACCGTTTCCGGTGACAGGTCTCTATTATGCGCATCGTCGTCGTGAGGGTTCGTTAAAATACTTCTGATGCTGGAAAGCCACTGACGATCTTGTGCCAACGAGAGCAACAGAGAGTTTTTATGCTCAACCAGCCGTTCTATGCGAGTCGCAATTTGTCTTAACCTCTCCGTATCGAATGTTCGAGAAGACGATGAATCTGCTAGTACAAATTTCAAGGCTGTCTGTTCCATATTCTCGTCGACGGACTGCTGGGTTCCGATAGCGTGGTCCCGGATATCATGCGCCCGGTCGGAATGATACCCGTGATTCGAGGTTTGTAACAAAGCAAGGCATGCAGATCGAATGCACTAAACACGGCCAGTAAAAAAGGGATAAGAAATAGTCATATTTTTTCTGCTACATGTGAGGATTCAGAGGACGAGTCGGTGAGCGAACAATTGTTTTGGGATATTCCCAGTCATTCTCTTACATATCATATAGTGGAAAAATTCTTACATAATGATAACCATTGGCTATTATTCGGAGGCAGAGAGTAGTGGAAGGGTATGCGTATGTGTGTCTGCGTGTGTGCGTACAGGAATGTTTAGCGTGTTATTTGATGTGACCTTTCCCCACCTGGGTCAGGTGACACGTCATGTTCTGTCTTGGTTTTCACACCTGGCCAAGGCAATTGGAGCGCCTGCACTAGCCGTTTTTGGGCATAGTCCGGTGTCTAGCCTTCCGAGCCCGGAAGATTTGTTCAGCAGACACACTGGATCAAGAACGACACTTCATCCGTCAAACGCTGTAGGACAATGGTCACCCGGAAAAGTTCATCAATAAGAACACTCAGCTCACTCCGGAGAAGGAAAAGTCTACCTGTATCCGCAAGAAAGAACTATTCATAAGAATCCCATTTAAGAGGGACTCACACACCGAGAGCCTAGTATAATCACTAAGAGCGCTGTGAATTCCACTTTCCCGGCAGCCAAACTTAGACTGGCGTTCTTTACATCATCGGTGATGAGAATGCAAGTGAAAGACAAACTGCCGAAACTGACCTCATCTATGATAACTTACTCTTTTAAGTACACCCATGGCGCATGTTACATAGGTCGTACGGTAAGGCGTTTGTCTCAGCGCGATAAAGAGCACCACCCGCAATGGTTAAGTCAGGGGAAGACTGACTGGATCTCAAGCGCGACCGTGGGGCATCTCGTCGACAACGGGCACAAGAACGAACCGGAGAAAGCTTTCGAAATTGCTTATCGTATCCGACTCAATCGAACGAAGGCGGCCTGAGTTTAGACACTGGTCATGGTCCAGGAAGGGGGAAGCGGCCAATCAAAGGGCTGCCATTCAACGCAATGGGGACAGTCAAGCGGGGGTGGTGGGATTCGAACACATCCCCGAGGTGATAATTTGGTGACGTTACCACCGGGCCACCCCCGCACACAAGCATACACTTCCATTACTCTCTGCCTCCGAATAATAACCTTAAATTGAGCCAATGGTTATCATTATGTAACAACTTTTCCACTATGTGATATGTAAGAGAATGACTGGGAATATCCGAAAACGATTGTTCGCTCACCGATTCGTTTTCTCAATGCTATCATGGGAATATTCAAGCTTTTGAAATGTGAGTATATCAACTGCTGTTTGTTTTAGTGACACTTGGACTCATCAATTCCGAACCATCTTCATTTGTGATGTCGAAACTCCAGTATTTCTACCCTCACCCTAAACGAAAATCTAGCTAAACGTTGTGAATGGTATTTCCTTATAAGTAGTCGTATGGGATGAAGATTAATCTGTTTCTGACTGACCAGCAGAGCGAAAATCATCTCAATGTACAAATCACAGATCACTCGGGGATGGTTTGATGCATGAACTGAGGACAGTATGTGAAAATGAAGTGTGAATTTTGAATGACCGAATGTCTATCCTCGTTCAACATGTCATTTCCTTAGTTGATCTGTACAGGCCAGAAGATGAATCATTGGAAACAATTGTTCGCCTCTGAACGTGTTCTCAAAATGGAATGTGATGGAAGGTAAGGCAAAAGAAATTTAACATAATACCTCCCGAAAAAGAAATTGAAATTGAAATTACATCGATCTGTTTATGTAAAAATGATGCAAGATGAACACGTAACGTTTTCATATCAAACCACACAGAGCGTATATTTAAATGGTTTCCTATTATTGTGCCCTTTGTATTTGTTACAAAGATGACTTGTCTCGTCTACAACTGTTCTAGCCCATCGATCCGAATGAACGAACAGGATCACCTTAAAGTCCGAGTGGAGAAAACCAATAAAGGACGCTAATCCATCAATTTCCAGCTTACGAACTTTAATAGGGGAGTTAACCAGATTATTGCTAGTTTCACACCAGTCCCGAGATTGCAAATAAATATTACAGATGCAGTTGAGTAGCTGGTACACGCCTATAATCACCGTACTTGGAATACTGGTATTGATCATTTGAACTACAGCGAAACAAACCTTCCAAGATTATATTTAAAGGCCGCTCAAACATGATGAGCAGACAGTCAGTCAGATTGGTTGAATAACTGTCAATGAACTGAGTTATATGCAGTGGTGAGTGTGGGCATTTCTGCAGTCAAAATCTGCTTACTGAAATAAGACCGAGTAGTCAAAATCTTACTTGAGGAATAACAGTAATCTAACGTTATTGCGGTCCACTCGGTAGGAGAAAATCTTGCACCATCCGCTGTTGCACTCCAATCTGATACGCACGAAAAGGCCATCATTGGGCTACCGCTAAACAAAATTGCCAAACGATTGCAGAGAATTTTTTTTGAACTGTCCGATGAGCTTATTTTTGAAACGAAATGACCTGAATATCATGTGAGCCACGCAGTTTTGTAAAATCGTTAGTTCGTATAAGGA